ACTCAACCAGAGCCTGATTCATGTTATGAGTAGCGGAAACAAAACAGAACTTGTTACAATGGCAGGTTACCTTTACTCATCTAATCCAGCCTCTTTCATAAAGCATCATATCTACAAAACCCCAAAACCTACACCTCTTAGAAGGAAATACCTAGGGAGAAAAGCTTTCTTTCCTTCATGTGAATCTCCAACCCATCTAAACCATGAACTTCCTATTCAGTAGGTTTGTGCTGCATGAGGATGCAGCCACAGTTTGCTGTCAATGATCAGCAGCAAGTTTTGCATTTTGCTTTTCTGGGTAGAATAAATTAATGATTACTGGTTGTTGGTGTTTTCTCATGAAAAGAAGATTGTTGAAGTAACAATAGAGTGCTGCAGTAGTGCCATCTAATGCACACTTAATTTTCATAGGTATTTTTAGATTCTGTGTGTGGAGATAGGTGGGTGGTTAGTGGCTTAAGTAATGTTCTTTAAAATTCCCAGTATGAACCACGGGGGGGGAAAACCCAGATTAGCAATTAAATGCTTCAGCTACAAAAGTACAGCTTGCCTTTTGGGGTTTTTTGGGGGAGTTTTTTGGTATGTGGTGGGGTTTTTTTGTTGTTTTGTTTTGTTTGTTTGGGTTGTTTCTTTTTTTGTTGTTTTTGTTTTCAGAAATGTTAAAATTTGTTAGCTAGCATGTTAAGAATATTATTTCCCTTTTTCAGTCCATTGTTGACAAGTGTACCTGTTTCTGGTAGAGCTGATATCCCTCAGGGTACCTTCCCTACTGCCAACTAAACTCATGATTTTCATCCTGAAATCTGGAATTCTGCATTTGCCAGGGCTGTTTTCATGGTTCCAAATGATGACCGATTTCCCCAAACCAGACAGCTTTTCAAAGCTTGAAATGGAAAAAGATAGATGTCTATATATGCTTACAACAATTATTTCTTTTTGGAAGACAGATAGTATTTTTAAGGTGGTAACATAATTTATCTTAATTCTTTTGAGCTTAAAGGTTTTGTCCACTTTATTGCCACTTCCAAATATTGCTGAGGTCATCTATTTTAAAAAAAAGCCTTGAAGCTAAATAGTCCATTTTAAGAGACTTACTTGGAGTTGTTTGTGCTTTGCCTACGCACGATCCACAACTACTGGAAGAACCACTACCCAAAAATGTGGAGTTGTGTTAATGCCAGCAAATCATACTGACAAACAGGTGCCTTGTCTAAATCGTTTTGGAGTTTAGTTCTAATGACAGTACTTTGCCCTTTTTAGAGATAATTGTATTTCTGCTGCCAAGACTTCAGAGATGGGCCACTCTAAAATCCCTTTCTGTGTTGTTTTCTAGTTTAGAGCTCGAGGTCAGGCTTGGCTTTTCCAGTGCACCTGTCCCATGGTGAGGCAGACCTGCTTTTCTCCCTGTGGTTTGGAGAAGGGAATATGTGTATAGGAAAGAGCCCCATGCACCTTCTTTACATCCCATTACATCTGAGACCAGGGATTTTTCAGATCCAGACAAGGGACAGGGTGGCCTCTTTCATGAATGGACCACGATGGAATGTTTTCATTTCCAATGGGCTTTAAGCCAAGTAAATATTAGTCGATCCAAACCAGTTTTGAAATTAAATTATTCTTATTTGTTGGAGCATTCCAGAGAATGGCTTTGATCTGTCTGTACTTTCACCAAAGGGATATTGGCAGGCTGGCCTCCCATTTCTAGCCATTTGGGATGAAAGAAGGGTTATAATAACCACCTTGTGTGGCAGTGATCCTGAACAGATGACATTTTTTGGACAATATTAAATGAATAAAGGTAAACATACTTCAATTAAAATGTTTTTGGAGGCTGAATGCAATAGGGCTGTTGGAAAGTCTTCTATGTGGGTTGGAGGAATTTGGCTGCACTTGTAACTGATTTTCTTTAAGTCCAAAAATCTTGGAAAGAGAGGGGTTTGTTCTGTGCATTATTTCCTTTCCAAATAAATACATTGTTTGAATAACTTAAAAATCAAATTAAAATTGGCAGTGAACAATGAAATTGTCAGTAACTGGGAGGTAGAGGGTGTGTTGAGGAAGGAGAGTTTTTTGCTTCTGGGGTCACATCAGCACAGTGCCCTGTACCAGGCACAGTAACAGTGTTAGCTCAGGTGATACCTGCAGGGAGACAACTTAAAAATTAAAGTAAAAAATCCAATAAATAAGATGCTCAGTTTTCCACAGTCTCTGCTGAAGGATCCTCCAAAAGAGGTGGGAGCAGGGTGGTGGGACACCTTCCCACCATGAATTGCTGCTTAGACACAGCTGAAGAACCTTTTAAATTGATACCAGCTGATGATAATTTATGCTCCCCCCTAGACTTAAACAATGACTGAAATGAACTGAATTAAAATCTAAGGAGTGGAACAAGTGGGTTGGAAAGACCTGCTGGAGGTCACTGGTCTGACCACCTTCCACCTTCAAAATTAGGTCAGGTATCTAAGTTTGTTCAGCTATATGTTTAAGTTCCAGCTTAGATTTCAGGTTATGTGGAACTTCTGGTGTTGAGGTTTCTTACATGTATTTACTAGGTTTTCTGTGAATAACTAAATATATACAAATTGTCATTTGCAATGTTGATGCAAATTAAATTGCTTTTCCTAGAAATGTGAGTAGTTTGCATGGATAGACAGGTGCCTTCTCACAAAAACTCTATGTCAATTTGCTTTGATTTCACAAAAATTAGACTAGTTGTACTTCTGAGTTAAATAAAAGAAAAATCTCTTTTAATGGATACTGTGTTAAACACTCAGTGCTGTTGGTGCATGTTCTGAAGTGTCACCTGCATTTTAAATCTGTTTAAGTACTTGGTATGTTCATGCCTTAAGGGAGAAATGGTTTGAACAAAGACACATATAAAAAAAACAAAGCACAAAGGGTTTGTAGGTTAAAACTCTAGCTTTTGTTTTTTTTTTGAACATCAGCTAAAATCTGGATCCATTTGCTTGAAATTGAGTATTTAGTTTTCAACTCAGCATGTAAACTGGTCATGCTTGAATTTAAAGCTTGATTTATTTCTTTTTGCACCTGTTTTTATTTTAACACTGACTCTATACAAGATAGACTTTTGCTACATGGTTCCTTCCTCCCCAGCTGGAAGTCTGGTCTGATATTATCGCGTGAGACCTTCCTAAAATTTACATTTGTAACTCTACAACCTCCAAAAATACAAAATACACTCGCTGCTCCATTAGGTTGTGGAGTTGTTTTTTTTTTTTTTAATTTATGGTTCTCTTTCCTATGTCATAGCACTGACCCACATATTTGATTTTAATACCTGGTCGTGAATTTGGCCTGCAAAATCTTGTTTGTATAAAACAAGGTGCAGTCCTGCCCGTAGCAAGAGGTGCCAGATGGGCTGGATCAGGGGAGAAATGGACATGAATTTGGAGGAGGAAATGTGAAAGGAGCTGAGGGAAAGGAGAAGGAGATGTGAGGCAGAGCGTGGGAAGTGATGCTAACACGGGATGGATGCATGGGAGGGTCTGGAAGTCTGGGAATTGTCTACAGCAGTTGTATCTGACAAAGAGAAAGGATGAAACCTCTTAAGGGGGAGGTTTTAAAGGAAATGACATGTATTCTCTTGAATATGCAAATCAGAATTACATAATCCGCAATAACAATAATAATAATAAATCTTTTCCAGATTTGCAGCTGTAACCCTGTGCTCAGTGGGGTGGTGGCAGAGAGCTGGCAGCCACAGCTGCTCTGTAAAACTGGGGCACCCACCTGGTTCTGATCTCCATAGGCAAGGGACAGAAGGTCACATCACAGACTGTTGTTCTCAGTATCTTGTAGTTTATATAATTTTTTTCAGGCTAATAAACAAAGTATGGGGAGACCCCAGAGGCATTTAAAAGATGTGTAGATGTGGCACTTGGGGACGTGGTTTAGTGGTGGCTTGACAGTGCTGGGTTAACCTGATGCTCTTGGAGGTCTTTTCCTGCCTAAATGAGCCGATTATGATTTTTTCATCAAATGAAAATGCTTCACCTAGGTCTGTAGTAACTGTAAGCCATCCTCTTTCCTTGCTTTTCCTTCCCCATGGAATACTGAAATTGGTTCATATTCCCATGCAGATGTAGGAATTTCAGGTGTATTTACTGTACCCTTTGCTGGGTTAATTGTGATAACTGTGTGTGCCCTTTATAAATATAATTTTCCCTGAGAGCAAAGATGAGCTAAATGATAAAATATACTGAGATACTGAACTAAATCCTCCATAATACTAAGCAGGAGAGTTTAACCAACAGATCATGAGAAGTTTTTTCTCAAGGCTTGAAGAACTGCTGTATTTGCTAACACACAGAGCTTTTCACCAAGGCATGGGCTTATATGATGAGTGAGAAGAGCCATCACTGTCTGTGCCACCACAGTTAGTGTTTCTTTGTAAGGAAGGTGGGAAAAAAAAATCTCAGTTGATACGAAACTTTAGTACCTTTGTGTATTTATGGATTGTGGATGAGAGATGTGTTCAGTGATCAGGTTGGATCTGTGGTTGCAGTGCTAGCTTGGACAATTAAGGGCTCAATCAAGAATTAGGGCATTTTCTCAAATTTCTGAGGGCAAAGGCAATTTTGGCCACTATCTCATTTGTTATGTGTGTCTATATTCTGATATATATTTTATATATATATATTGTGTTATATATGTCTATATATATGTGTGTTATGTGTGTCTATACAAAAAAACCTGTGTGGGGTGTGCACATCTTTGTCAGACTTGGTGTCATTCTACCGTATTAAGTTGTTATTTTAAAAATACCCTGGATATTTCTACATGTCTCTTCCTAGAGCTGCATTCAACGTGTTTCCTTGATGTTGACTGGCTTTCATATCTGAAAATTAGGATGGACACTGAGTCCTATGAAAGGAGAGTATGAATGGAAAGTATGAATCTTGTAGGAAGAGTAATTTTATTTTAGATTATGCATTTCTTGGTTATGTAAACTTAATGTTGTTTCTTGTCCTTTTTCTTAGGGTGACTCTGTTATTACAGTGCAGCTGACTGAGGAAGATAAAGTTGAAGATGATGTAGTTTTTTATTTGGTCTTCACTGGATCAACTGTCCAACACTGCACAAGCACGAGAAAGATTAATCCTGGGAGTCTGGAGACAATTTCTCCTGGTAAACAATTGACTTTCTTTGCATATCAGTGTATCAGTCTGGGAAATTTGGTTACTGCAAGTGGACTGGAATGCAATGCTCTTTGCTTGGTTGACTTTATCCTCATTTTTACACATTCACAAGGAATAGAACACATGGTTTGGGTGACTGCTTTTGCCTTTTAAAATCCTCTTACTTGATTTCACTAGAATTATATGACTTTGAGATTGCGATTATTTAATATGTAACTATGAGATACTATTGTAGAAAACTCACAGTTACACATACACATAGTAAAAACCTTTTAAATGCAGCAAAGGTGGTGGAAGATACATTTGTAAAGTCACAGATGCTATTGTCCAAATGGGATAGCCCAGTAAGTCTTAGCTACACTCATCATCTACTTGACTCACTGAGGTTCATTGCTGTCTTCCTGGTGAAATACAACCCTTTCTCCTAAATCCTGTTCAGCTCAGAGCTCACAGAGCATTTCTGGAGCTCTTGCAGTACAGGTGATGTGCTGCTCAGTGCCGTCTCTCCATGGCTGGTGCAGATGAGGTAGGTTTCCACATGAAAGCCCACCTCTGTTTTTATCCTTTGTGCCACCAACAAAACAAAACCAATCAGCATTTCCCTTTGGTGACTTCAGGACCGTGGGAATGAGCATGTTCCAGGCTGCAGTCCTCACCATTAACCTTTCATTCTGACTTGTTGCTATGCAGCACACTGCTACCAGTGTGAGAAAAACGCCTGACATTTTCACTACACGCAGTGTAACTCAGGCCATCAAGTGTTTTTCTTGGGTTTGTCTTTTCATCTACCTCCTGAGTATTGTTTTGTGAGAGATGCACGTGGAGTAAAATTTGGAGTTGTTTTCTCTTGGGAATGAGTAGCTAAAAGTTGGCCACTCGTTTTTTTTTCATTTCCTCCTCTTTTTGTGCTGTTCATGTTGTTCAGTTGGCTTGGGAAGAGAAGCCTTTTTATGGCTACTGATGACTGGAGCCCCGTGCAATCAATTAGATTAGTGCTTATTTTCTCCCAGAAGAGCAAGAAGGGGGTGACTCCTTCCCTGCTTTTGTGTGGTGGGCGTGGGGCTCTGCCAGCCCTGCTCAAAATGACTTCACCTCTCCCTCGGGGCTGTGGCTGCTGTGCCAGGAAAGGAACTGAAAAGCTCCAGTGTTCCCTGCAGCCCATGTGGGAGCCAGGCTGCTGGATGGGATTTCCGGGCAGGAACAATTCTTTCCCATCACTGCTGCCCTTGAGGAGTGCTGGATGTGCCCAGGGAGGTGGCTGCCAGGTGGGACCAGAGTGATGCTCTGGGCACTGTCTGTCCTGCCAGCTCCTGATACAACTGAGTCACTGGGACGGCTCCCCTGCAGCTCCTTTTGGTGCTGGTAGTGGGAAATCTGACACTGTTTATGATTCAAAAGGAAAAGAGGGAATTTCTCTCAATTGTTCCTTTAGCAATAATAGATTGTTTTGTTGGTGGGTTTTTTTTTTTACCCAGTATAGTCATGATCTTGTGGGGTGTGAAGTTGGACTGGGGTGGATGCTGTCCCAAAATACAGCTTGTTTCAGACAGAGTTTTAGGGATCTTTCATAAAGGTTGTTCATTCCTGCACTGTCCTGGGATGTGGTGCAAGGAAGGGGGATATCTCAGATGTGGATAGCACCCTCATTTGTGCTCATACCTCATTTTGGTGAGACTGCCTAAGAAAAAAAAAATACTTCAGTGATGAAGAGGTTGTTGGGGAAAGGCAAAGCAAGAAATGGAATAGCCTGATTTTTTTCATCCCCTCTGCTGTCACCCATGCATTTGTCCAGCGTTGTTTCAGCAGTGATTACACTGATTTCAGTGGACGTATGACTTACTTCAGTTCAGCTCTTCCTCCTCCTCCTCCTTCCTGGACGCACGGTGAATCTGTAATCATGTGTTTACACTCTGTATGTTCCCCAGTTGCCTTGGCAATGGCTGTGGTGACTCAGAGCGTTATTTGACCTCGGAGGGATTAGCCATGAACAGCACACAGTGTGTGTGAGACCAGCCCTTGTTCAAACACCCAGCCCGGGCACTTAGCAAGTGTTCTGCAAGGAAACTCCTGCAAACAGCTTTTAGCCAAAATCTCACCTTTTACTTCCAGCTCTGAGCATCTTTCATTTGTTCCTGTGATAGAAGGAGTGTTGCACATCCCTGTGAGCACAGCAGCTCCTGGGGACAGCTCAGGTGCACTGAGGAAGGGCTGATTCACTCAGGAGCCTCTCTGCCTTTTCTGAACCTCCTCTGCATCCCTTCTGGACTCCAAGGCTCTTCCCTCATTCTTGCCCCACATCCTCAAAATTTCATCTGGTCCCCAGGAGACTTCAGATGAAATCCATTAGTAGCTGGGGTGAAAGGGGTAACAGATGTAATTCTGTTCAAGCTTGAAAACAAGCCCACATTTGTAATTTTTGTTTCTTGAGATTTTCAGTGGGTTTCTTGATGTACAGAAGTGTAAAAGACAGAGAAATTATTTCATTATGTTTGCTGCCAAAATTAATCAGAATGTTTTAGAAAAGCTTTCAAATAAAATCACATTTGAAAAGAAATCTTAACAACATAAAGTTGTTTTAGGTGAAAAATTAGAGAAAATGGAATGGAAATATAAGCTGTCAAAATACCCCATAAATTTTCATTGTATGTGAAAATTCTCTATATCCTGAAAGACTTTACCTAAATAAAAGCTTATCACTGCAGAATTAAATGACTCCTGCATCTTATATCATTACTGGAGCAATCTGCTTCTTTCTATGCTTTTTTTATCATCAGCCTTAAACACTGAATATATATATAGTCCATAATACTGTTCAAATGTGAGCTTTTATTTCTGTACAGAGTAAAAGAAAGGACTTCTGATTGTAATTTTATGGTAGCAGCTTTATTGTACCTGAAGATGTGGATAAATACAGATTAATCATTTCTTCAAATTAGAGAATACTTACTTGTATTTATGCTCTTGCTCTGAAGAATGGGATGGATTATTTATCCTGCTCTGCTCTTGGCTGTGTTAATTTAGGGAAGGTAATTTCCCCTTGTAAGAAGCAGATCCTCATCTGAGCTGATCAGTCATAACTTGAAGTGTCAGAATTAGCTACTGAGATTCAAGAATTAGCCAGGAGATTATATTTTGTTGCTTTCAGTACCTCTTTTGCCAGCCTAAGGACACACCAGGTTACATCATCCAAGCAAGCTTTTGTTTGTCTCAGTGAAAAGCTACCAAAACCTCATTTAACTGTTGGCTTTACTGTCACTGTTACAGTTCTTCTATTTCTAATTAATCTGGTTGAAATTCTCCCTCATGGAAGCAGTTTTCCTCAGTACCAGAGGCACTGTGTAGCACAATTTCAAGCATTGTTGTATCAGACACAGCTTTAAGTGGCAGGTGGAGGTGTAATGGCACTCGTACTGCTCCAGTGGGGATCTCTTGGTCTCTGCAAAATCTTGGTCTCTGGAGTTTGGGTGTTAAGAAAGCATCAAAAGTCTGAGCAGGAAGGAAGTAGAGACATGATACCGTCTCTGCTGCTCTGGTTAGCTGTGGTTGGTTGCTGAATTTGTACTCTTGGGCATGGATATGTCCTCTTAGGTCACAGATGCTTGTCCTCCTGGTGTTGGTCATTAACTGAGCTTTTCAGCAAGCCCTTATTCCTACAGCAGCTGAGATTGCCCTAATCTCAATGCATTTTTTCTTTCTACCATCTCTGCAGGGTAGGGAGGGTAACTGAGGCCAAGCAGATTGCATGTGGTAGTGAAGGAAATCTGTGCAAAGCAGGGAAGTGAAACATTCATTGCAAGACAGCAGCCTCCTCTCTTGTCTCTCTGCTAGAGCAGCTTTTTTCCCCACTGGGAAAAAACCCAACCCAATAATAAAAATCCTCAAATCACAATCTGGCAAACAAACCAGCAGAAGAAGGAATGACCTCATCACCGTCCACACAAGTCAAAAGTCCCAACCACAGCTTGCTGTAGCCAGTGGAGGCCTCTGAGCATTGGGAACTTTTGGGGAGATCTGGGGGAATTTTCTTGCAGGAGCTGCTGTGCTGGGAGCTCCACTATTTGTGTGGTGCATTTATTGCAAAAGTTTGCATGCCATCCCCATAGCAGCTGTATGGTTGGACATGCATTTTGCTTTGCATTTAACCACTGGTGTTCTGGAAAGTGTGGGAGACATGGGGAAATTGAAATGAAATTTCAAACAGAGAGAGACAGTCCAGAAATCCAGAGCTGCTGCAGCTCCTGATCAAATAAGTGAAGGGTAAGAAACACCCTGTCTGTGAGCCAGGTCACCAAAACAAGAAGTAAATTTTGTGGGATGTAATTGCCTTGGTGAGTACTGTTGCAATGTGTTGTATCACTCTGAGCTCTGATAATACAAAAATCACTTTCCTCATGTTTGTTGAACTCGTAAGGGATTCTTGTGTGGGTTTCAAAGGGGAGGAGAATCAAAACTGGATGTAGAAAAAGGGTCTGAGAGACTGTCTGTCTGCTGGTAGCTGCCTGCCAGCAGTTTCCACAGGGCTGACACATTCCCGTTGACTCACTCTCAGCTTTCTCTCCATCCTTAAGCTAAGCAGAGAAGCAGCTTCAGTCTTTAACTTGTTCTAAATTCCCTAGCTCCCAGAGTTGCTGTTTTAGGGGTTTTTTTCTCCTTACTTTCTTTCTGCTAGTTAAAAGGATAGACAAAAATTAATTTCACTTAGCTTGGGAATACCTTCATTTCAAACTTTTATTTTACTGTGAAATCCTTTACATATGGTGATGCTTTATTCATTTCTACCACAGACTGTGTTTTCCCCTAAGAAACAACTCTTCATACAAAAAGCTGTATTTCATGAATTACAATCTTTGTACTGGTAGACCAGAAGGGTAAACAAGTTGCATAAGAAATGGCCACTTGGCAATACCACTTGTGGATTTGAAAATACTCTTAATTATAAAACAAAAAAGCTCCTTAAAATAGACTAAACCAGCATAGCCAAGAAGACTT